AATCATCAGTTTCAAGAAATCAACCTTTATATATATATATATATATATATATTGCTTGCCTTGAAGAAATTGGGTTTTACCAAATCATAGTGATGGAGCCATCGGAGAGTAACAATAGAGTGAGAACAAGATCGGGGAATTTGAAACCGTCAAGAAGATTATCTTGTTGTAGGACTCTACTGGTAGAAGAAACGTAGGGAGATGATGACCTTTGAATTGACAGAAAGAGAGAGAAATTTTAGTTTATTGACTTTAGGATTTTGTATTTATTACGAGGAGGTAGGAAGGGTAAATTTAAAAGAAAAATATTAATGTTGTATAAAAATCTTAAAACGATAAATATTTAGAATCAAATTTTAATCTCTAAAATGACTATTAGATCCTGTTTGGATGAACTTTTAAGCGTTTTAATTTTTAAATACTATTCATGTCTCATATATTTAAATTTTTTTTTAAAATTTATATTTTTAAATATTTTTTTAACCTTAAAAGATTTTTAAACAATAAAAATTTAAAAGTTTTAAATCTAAATTTTTCATAAATTTTTTTTTATTTATTTTTTATTCACTTTTTCACTTTTTTAAAAATTAAAACTTTATTTATTCTTTAATAAAAATTTAAATTTATCACTCATAATAATATTTAAAAAACAAAAATTTTAATAAATCACACCAAACATGTTCTTAATATGAAACACAGGGAGAAGGAGTATAAAGTGGCATTTTCCAATTCCATAATTTTTTTTTTTAGATAAGGATAATAATTAATAAAATTATTAATTATTAATAATTAAAGATTCGACCTGAATTCTGAGTAACATTTCACTTCCCTCGACGAGATGGGACGCCTATTAATTCGTTTGGTGGAGTTCCATAATTTCAACATAGAAAGAGGAGTATTAGGTGAGGCTATTGAATGTTGAACCGCAAAGAGGATTGGCAACAACCAATTTGCCTTTTTACTCTTTTTTTCCAACATATTGTCCCAAATTTGATATTGGGGCTGAAGTCAATTGGTAAGCAAGTTGGAAATATTCCTCTGATTCTTTTCTCCTTTTCTCCTTTTCCCATTGAATTTTACAAAGTCTTTACCAAATGCCCAGACTTCTCTTGAAACAACGTTTTCATCTACTTGGACTAAAATTTTTCTTTCAAATCAGATTAGCATATTTATCAACAGTAGAAAGTTTGCTGATGCATCTCTTTGCTTTTGTGTTGCAGGTATTTTCCAGCATCAATGAAGAATATGATCATTTGCTTTATTTTGTTTCCAACGTTGTTGATACAATGCTTCATGGTTTCCTTAACCATGTCTCAAACAAACTTCACCATAGACCAATCTGCCCTTCTTGAATTCAAAGTTCACATCACGTTTGATCCTTTGAATGTCCTGTCCTCCAATTGGTCCTCTGTCAGCTCCATCTGCACCTGGACTGGTGTTTCCTGTGGTGTTCTTCATGACAGAGTCACTTCCTTGAATCTTTCTGACATGAACCTCTCTGGCACTCTCCCTCCCCACTTGGGAAACCTCTCATTCCTTGGATCTCTCAACTTGAGTGGAAACAACTTCCATGGAAAATTGCCTCCAGAGTTGGGTAAGTTGCAGCTTTTAAGGCTCATCGACTTGAGCTCCAATTTGCTTGAAGGAAGCATCCCAGATGAGATAGGTTTGCTCTCAAAGCTTGAGGTTTTCAAAGTAGGAAACAACAAGCTTTCGAATTTCATTCCATCCACGATCTACAATATTTCCTCCCTGGAAGTTTTAGACTTCACGTCTAATTACATGCTTACAGGAACTATTTCAAGAAACATTGCAAACTTAACTAAGCTAATGGAAATATATCTTGGAAATACAGAAGTACAAGGTACCATATCAGATTTTTCTTTCTGAAATCATGACTCTTCAATTAAATTCTAAGCCCTCAATTTCTTTACAGGAGAAATACCACAGGAGATGGGTGGTCTTTATAATCTGGAGATATTTTCAGCTGGAAATGCAAGCCTCTTGGGTCCCATTCCACCAAACATCTTCAATATATCTTCCTTAAGATGGATTCATCTTGAGAGAAATAACCTTTACGATGCCCTTCCTATTGACTTGTGCTTCCATCTGCCGAATCTTGCAGTGCTTCATCTGTACATGAATCAGTTAAATGGCTCAATTCCCTCAAGTATAGGCAAATGCAAGAAGCTTCAAAATATGGACTTATCAAGTAACAGATTCACTGGACGCATCCCTAGAAGCATTGGGAACTTGACTGAACTTACTGAAATATATTTAAGTAACAATGGCTTGGAAGGTAAGATTCTTCCATATGTTCTTTTCTTCTTCATGCTATTTGAGATTAACGTGTATTGAGTTTTAATCAACTTTTACAGGTGAAATTCCAGTAGAGTTGTCCAATCTACACAACCTGGAGATATTGAGTATTGGGGATATGGGACTTACAGGTCTCATTCCACCTCCCATCTACAACATATCCTCTCTAAGGCACATTTATTTTCCAAATAATAGCCTTTCAGGAAGTCTCCCTGAGGTTTTGTGCCGGCATCTCCCAATACTTGAGAAGTTTAATGTCATCAACAATAAGCTCACAGGAACTATTCCGAATGATATAGGAAACTGCACTTTCCTCAACTTTTTGCAGATTGGTGAAAATTTCTTAACAGGTACCAATCTAATGCTCACTCCTGTTTTTTTGCAGTTCATCCTTCTAGTTCTATCTGGAACAAAAATTATTTCTCAGTTAAAAAAAAAAAATGAAAGCAAGTTAAAAAGCTTGTCAATTAATTTGGAGATGTATGACAGGTGGTATACCAGAGGAGGTTGGGAACTTACCTCTTAGCTTTCTACATATGGGATTCAACTTCTTGTCTGGTTCCATTCCACCCATGATCTTTAATATCTCAACCTTAGAATTCATTAATTTACAAATGAATAACCTTTCAGGCCAACTTCCTTCAACCTTGGGACTCTGGCTTCCAAAGCTTACTGAGCTATATCTGACTCAAAATAAACTCAGTGGTATTCTCCCAAGTACTATCTCCAATTCTTCCCTGCTTACCAAGCTAACATTAGGCCGTAATTCATTCTCTGGCCCTCTTCCCAATTCATTTGGTGATCTGAGATTCCTAAATGCGCTTGACCTGAGTGGAAATAGTATGACTTCTGGACTATCCATTCCTAGAGGAGATTTTCTCTCTTCCTTGACAAACTGCAGATTTTTGACACGTTTATCTGTATCATCTAATTCATTGGATGTTATGCTTCCAGCTTCAATTGGAAACCTGTCCACTTCCCTTCAATATTTATATGCAAGAAATTGCTCAATCAAGGGGAAAATTCCGGCAGAAATTGGCAACTTAAGTAACTTGATAGCTCTGAGTCTTTCAAAAAATTATTTGACAGGATCAATTCCAACAACAATCAGAAGATTGCAGCAGCTCCAAGGTTTGTACCTATATAGAAACAGACTACAAGGAACAATTCCATATGATATTTGTCATTTAGAAGCATTGAATCTACTGAGACTTGATGATAATCAGCTCAATGGGTCTTTCCCACAGTGCCTGGCCAATTTGACTTCTTTAAGAGCTCTAAACTTAAGTTCCAACAACTTTAGTTCTACCATACCCTCAGCCTTTTGGAGTCTTATGTATATCTTGCAAGTAAACTTGTCAACAAATTCTTTCAATGGCTCTCTCCCATTAGAGATTGGAAACATGAAGGCCTTGATCAACATGGATTTATCTAGAAATCAGCTATCAGGAAATTTACCAAGTAGCATTGGGGATTGTAAAGATCTGAGCTATCTTTCCTTGGCAGAAAATGCATTAGAAGGTAACATTCCTCAATCATTTGATGGGTTGGTAAGCTTGGAATTCTTGGATCTCTCAAACAACAATCTTTCCGGAGTGATTCCCAAGTCTTTGGAGACACTCTCCTCTCTCAAATACTTCAATGTGTCTTTCAATAGACTTGAAGGAGAAATCCCAACCAAAGGACCATTTAGAAACTTCTCAGCTCAATCATTTATGGGGAATGCTGCCCTCTGCGGTTTGCCAAGGCTTCTTGTGCCTTCATGTAAAGGCAGCTCCTCTCATTCTCTGAAAAAATCAGTCCATCTTTTGGGATATGTTTTGCCACCAACAGCAGCTATCATATTGATATTGACACTCATCATGATCTTCACAAGATGCCTTAAATCACAAGAAACACCCACCGATGAAGAAGTTATATTAAGTCCAGAAAAATGGAAGAGGATTTCATACTGGGAGCTTCAACGAGCAACAAATAGACTCAACAGAAGAAATCTGCTTGGCACAGGGAGTTTTGGGTCAGTATACAGTGGGATACTTTCTGATGGAATGAAAGTTGCAGTAAAGGTTTTTAATCTGCAAGTGGAAGGTGCATCTGGGAGTTTAAACACTGAATGTGAAATACTAAGCAGTATACGCCATCGTAATTTGATCAAAATCGTTAGTAGCTGTTGTAGTGAGGACTTCAAGGCCTTGGTGATGGAGTTCATGCCTAACGGGACCCTGGAGAGGTGGCTATATTCTGATGGATGTTGTTTGGATATCCTGCAGAGACTGAATATCATGATAGATGTGGCTTCTGCTCTAGAATATCTCCACCATGGAAATTCAGTACTCATTGTCCACAGCGATTTGAAGCCTAGTAATGTGTTGCTTGATGAAGATATGGTTGCCCATGTGGGGGACTTTGGCCTTGCCAAGCTTTTAGGAGCAGGAGAATCTGTGAAGGAGACCATGAGGATTGCCACTATTGGCTACATGGCACCAGGTGATGTTTCACTCTTTGATTTTTTGTTCTATTTTGTCTAATTGAAGAAACTTCATTCATGTCTGCTTGCAATTGTCCACAAATCCTGAAGAACACAATGTTATTCACATTGATAATCTAACTATTTGATACAGAGTATGGATCGCTAGGCATTGTTTCTACAAAAGTTGATGTCTACAGTTACGGAATTGTAGTAATGGAAGTCTTCACTAGAAGAAAGCCTACTGATGAACTTTTCTCCGGGGAAATGAGCTTGAAGCTGTGGGTAAGGGAGTCATTGTCCGCTTCTGTAATTGACATTATTGATGCCAATTTGGTGAGCTCAGAAGAGGAACATTCTGTTGCCAAGATAAAATGTGTAACATCTATTATGGAAATGGCTTTGGATTGTTCAGCGGAATCACCCAAAGAAAGACCACACATGATGGACATTGTAGCTATGCTTAAGAAGATCAAAGATAAGTATCTGAAAGACGTTAGAGCTTGGAGGGATACATTGAGCAGACCGCAGTAAAACGTAACAAAGATCATTATTATGATGTAGATTGTATACTTTGAATAAAAAATACAATGAAAAACAGATTAATTATTAATCCATCATCTATGTTGGCTGAAACGAAACTCCACTATGTTTTTCCTCATAATTCAGGAAGAACAACAGCATCTCTGTATTTTGATACAGCATAATCTTAGGTTTTGTTTGTAAATGCTGTACTGTTGTTATCGGTTTGTTTTTCCTCTTATTTTCTCGAAAATATATAAAATATTAATTAAAATAGATAAAAAAAAATTGAAAAATTAATTAAAAATTAAAAATTTACATTTTTTGTCTTTTACTTGTTTTAATCCAAACTGTTCGCCTCCAAAATCTGATCAAAATAATCAGCAGATGCTGCAACAATGAATACAGAGCCTTGGTGCTTGAGTTCATGCCTAATAGAACTCTGGAGAGATGGTTGTATTCATGGCTGTTAAAATCGTAATTTTACTCATAAAATCATATGATTTTACGTTTTTAGGCATTCAAATCAAGTTAATTGGATTAAATATTAGAATATCATAAACTCAGAGTAGAATTATGATAAACTTATAAAATTGGATAAAATCTTCACAATTTTGCAAATTTCAAAGGTTTTATAGATTTTTGTAACATAACTCGACAATTAATCCTTTCTAGTGCAGTGGGGTTGCAAGCCTTTACTCAAATAAAGTCTGGTAGACCATGGTTTGAAATTTGTCCATGTAAGTTGTCAAGGAAAAATGTTCAAGACTTATTATTTTTTTGATGGTACACTAATAATTTTTTATGAAATAAATTTTTTTGGTCAAAACTACTAAAATTTAAAACAGTTTAATGATTATAAAATTAAAAAAAAAAAAAAAAACTCAACAAATACTTAAAATAATTAGTTAATAGTTAATATTTTTAGATAAATTTTAAATTTAAATATTTGATATTAAATTTTAGTAATATCTAATTTTTTAATTAATTTAATGAACTCTAAATTTTCTCAGTTCAATCTTACAATTTTGATTTTTGATTCTTCTCTTCCTCTTCTTCTTCTAGATTTGCTCTCCATATCTTCGTGTGAAAAAAAATCAACACCACCATTAGATATACGGCGGCAACAGGTGCTCTTTTTATTAATTTTCAATTAAAAGTGTTGAAATATATGGCAGCGTCCTTTGCCGTCTGACAGGTGCAGCCCGGTCAATGAACCGTGATTCTACAGGAGATGAAATAGTGTTAGATTTTTTAGGTGAAAAAAAAAGGGTTGAGAGAGAACTCGCAGGAGAGCAAGAGAAGAGTAGAACTCATAACATAAATCTGACATAGCAATGAAATAGTGCAGACATTCACCCAACCGGAGGGAGAGGAGAAGTTCTCCAAAGCTCACTCCTATTTCCATTAACATCTCTTGCCCATTTATAACCGAAATTCAACATAAAAACAGTGTTTCTCTACCTAATTGTCATGATTTATGGCTACATGTTTCTTACAAAATTTATCAAAAATTATAATACATAAAAAAAATTATCAAAGATTGTAATACATAAGCTAACATAAAAAGTACATTGCAATTGCTGCACTTTTGTTGACTACTTTGCAGCAACCATTTGCATTTCATTTGCATCTCAATTTCATTTCATTTTCTTCCATACTGCAGCAGAGTGCTGCACTTTTCTTTCTTCCATTAAAGCAGCTTTATTGCTGCACATTTTGTGCCATAAACGCAGCTTATTGCTGCACCATTTTAACATTACACGTAAAGGTAATATTGGTAAAAACAAAAATTATCTCCAAATAAGATACAACCAAAAAAATGTCTAAATTATTTTGACAAGAAAGGAGTACTTGCTAGGCCACCACAAACGTCTCATAAACACTGTTTCTGCATTCATGATTCGTGCAGCTACAGTAGGATTGTTAGGCAACCTTGGAGGATTAAACCCATTATATATTGACCCCCCGAAACCATTGCCTCTCAGAAAAGTTTTCATCTTGATGGCTCAGATGTATTAGTTTTCTCGTGAAAACAAAAAGGATTAAAGAGTGAACCAGTTGTACAATTACTGGTAGACATGGCTGTGTATCGAGTTGGTCACAGCTTCTCTCCCTTACAACCTTTCGTGTTTACTCTCTCTCACTTCCCTCTTGTGTTTACTGTGTAACAGGTCCCTCAAGAAAAATGTTCCTGATACCAATTGTTGATGTAGTTGCTGGTGTTTTGCAGAAAAAAGAACAAGAAGAAATGGAGATGAGGACTGGCTCGCTGATAGGAGCACAGGTTCTGGTTTTTTCTCTCTTGTATTTCATCCATCACAGATTTATATTTTAAAGAATACAAATCAAAGGCAATCTAGTGATAACCAATAAGAACAAATAATCTCCATATACAGTTATACTAATATTTTTTTTTTCAAAAAATCTTTATAAACAAAATATTTCACTCAAAATCAAACTTGCATCATTTTTCCGTTCTTATCAAAAGCATAACCATTATTTTGTTCTCTGATTACTATTTTTATTGGTCAATTTATTTTATCTTGAGATAGTCATATTCTGTTCTGCAGTTGTGGCTGCTTTCCGTACTTTTATATTGTATTCCTTTTTCCTTTTTTTGGTTTAGACTTTAGACATTAGACCAGCACTCACTCCAGGGAACAAAAACAAAAATAATAGACAATACAACCAAACTGTTCAAGGAGAAAATGTTTCTCGTTTAAATGACTGGAGAAAAATTTAAATCTTATATATCCTTCATCCATGAAAATGAATTTCTTTTTCTCCAGAACAGGCTGACAGTGTTTATATGTGTATATGTGTATATATTGTGTATATACACACAACCTGGATGCATAATAAAACAGAGAAAACATCATTTTGCTTTAGTTTGCTGTGGTGACATATATGACCAACCTGTGAAAGGACACAGTCTGTCTAATAGTTTATGCAGCAACATTAAGTATTTCAACCATCACAAGTTTTTCCTCTGTTGAATTCTTAATAACAAAAATATTCATCAACTGTAGAAATATTTTGAATTACATGAGTTTCTTCCCTTTATATTCAGTCAGTTTTTTGCCTTTGGAGTTGCAGATATTTCCAGCATCAATGGAGAAGGTGATCATGTGGTTCATATTCCTTCCATTGTTGTTGACACAGTGCCCCATGACAGCCTTAGCCATGTCTCTCACAAACTTCACCACAGACCAATCTGCCCTTCTTGAATTCAAAGCTCACATCACTTCTGATCCTGGTAACATTATCTCCTCCAACTGGTCTTCTGCCTCCTTAATCTGCAGCTGGGTTGGTGTTTCCTGTGGTACTCGTCATTGCAGAGTCACTGCCTTGGATCTTCCGAACATGAACCTCTCTGGCAGCCTCCCTCCCCATCTAGGAAACCTCTCATTCCTTATATCTTTCAACCTGAGTGGAAACGGTTTCCAAGGCCACTTGCCTCCAGAACTGGGGAATTTGTGTCGTCTGAAGCTCATTGACCTAAGCTACAATTTCTTTCAAGGAAGCATCCCAGAGGAGATTGGTGTGCTTTCAAACCTGGAGATTTTTATAGTGGGACACAACCAGATTTCAAATTCCATTCCACTGGCCATCTATAATATTTCCTCCCTACAGGTTTTGGATTTAATGTCCAATTATAAGCTCACTGGAAGTATATCAAGGAATATCAGAAACCTAACTAAGCTAAGAGAAATATATCTTGTAGATACAGAAATTAGTGGTATGATTACAGCTTTTTCTTTGCCTTCTTTCCAAGCCAGAATTCATTTCTAACCTTGCATTATAATCCCTTGAAACTTTTTTGCAGGGGAAATACCATGGGAAATGGGTGATCTTCATAACTTGGAGATACTTGCAGCTGGAAATGCAAATCTCTCAGGTCCCATTCCACCCAACACCTTCAATATCTCTTCATTGAGATGGATTTATCTGGAGAGAAATAGCCTATCTGGTTCTTTCACAGATGACTTTTGCTATCATATGCCAAATGTTGAAGTGCTTTATTTGTACATGAATCACTTAAGTGGCTCAATTCCCTCAAGTATAGGCAAATGCAGGAAGCTTCAAAAGCTCAATCTGTCCACTAATAGATTCACTGGATACATCCCAAGAAGCATTGGAAACTTGACTGAACTCACTGAAATATATTTGAGTAATAATGAATTGGAAGGTAAGATTATTCGAGATGTTTTCTTCTTGTTCAGACTGGTTGAGATTAATGCTTCTTGAGTTTTACCATTTGCAGGCGAAATTCCAGTAGAGTTGGGTAATCTCCTCAACCTGGAAATATTGAGAATTGAGGGAGCGGGACTTACTGGTATTGTTCCTCCTAAAATCTATAACATATCCTCACTGAAATATATCTATCTACGAAACAACAGCCTTTCGGGGAGTTTTCCTGAGGATTTGTGCCACGGTCTTCCAATACTTGAGGAGCTTAACTTCTACAACAATAAGCTCACTGGAACCATTCCTAAGGATATTGGAAACTGCACTTTGCTCAACTATATTGCCATTGACACAAATTTCCTGACAGGTACTAATCTATGCAAACCCTTTTTTTTTTTTTTTTTAAGTTTATTCTTCTTCTCCTATCTTCATCAACAATTCTTTCTTTCTGAAAAATTGATTCAAATTAAAAATCTTGTCATTTTTTTATCAACCAAAAGAGCTTGGTCAATTAATTTATAGATATTCGACAGGTGAAATACCAGAGGAGATTGGCAAGTTACCTTTGAGCTCTTTGTATATGGGACACAACTCTTTGATTGGTTCCATTCCTCCCAATATCTTCAACATCTCAACCTTGGATATCATTGCCTTACAATTTAATAACCTTTCAGGCCATCTTCCTTCAACCCTCGGACTTGGGCTTCCAAAGCTTATCTCTCTAGTTCTCAACCGAAATAAACTCAGTGGTATTCTTCCAAGTTCTATCTCTAATGCTTCCTCGCTTGCCAACCTGGAGCTTGGCCACAACTCATTCTCTGGCCCTCTCCCCAATTCACTTGGTGATCTAAGATACCTCAAATGGCTTGACCTGCAAGAAAACAACATGTCATCTGAATTCTCCACTCCTGAAAAAGGCTTTCTCTCGTCTTTGACAAACTGCGGACTTTTGAGGCATCTAGACATATCATCTAATTCCTTGAATGGCATCCTTCCCCATTCTATTGGGAATCTATCCACATCTCTTCAATATTTGTATCTAGGAAATTCCAAAGTCAAGGGAAACATTCCCATAGGAATCGGCAACTTGAGCAATTTGATACTTCTGAGCCTTTCAAGAAATAATTTGACAGGATTGATTCCAGCAACAATTGGACAATTGCAACAGCTCCAAGGTCTCTTCCTTTATAGCAATAGACTAGAAGGAACAATCCCATATGATCTTTGTCATTTAGAGTCATTAAACGAATTGAGACTAGATTATAATCAGCTCAATGGATCCATGCCAGAGTGCGTAGCCAGTTTGACTTCTTTAAGATATCTTGACTTAAATTCCAACAAACTAAGTTCCACCATACCCTCAACCTTCTGGAGCCTTACATATATCTTGCACGTAAACTTGTCATCAAATTACTTCAATGGCTCTCTCCCACTAAATATTGGAGACATGAAAGTCATGATCGACATGGATTTGTCAAGAAATCAACTATCAGGAAATTTACCAAGCAGCATTGGGGATCTCAAAGATTTGACT